CAAACGACCAGTCGAAAATTACGGCAGCGATGCTTTTTAACTCACTCACTGATTAAAGACACTTCCCAGACGCTCTTTGAGTTTCCGGACAATGCAGCCCACGGAAGAAAATCACCATATTTGCATGGTTCGGTTAGCAGGCTCGATTCAGAATGAACAACGTATTACTCCCCCAATAAAATTTGGCATACTTCCCCGTGCTCCCGTACGATAATCGAACATTTGTTCGCACTCCCTATCATTACCATGATAGAATGGAAAAACAGAAAATTTTCATTACGTTTTTTCAAGCTTTGTTGTAGCTGAACCAGCACTAAGTTTTCAACGCCTCAGTTCTCAAAGACCCTCCTTCTGCTTTCTCCCAATAAATTTCTGCGCTTGAAAACGCATATTCCGCGTCGTAAATCCTCTCTACAGAACTGATTCTTTGCCGCCATCCCATTCCTTCAGAAACTCCGAAACCTAGCTTTAGAATATGCCCAGTCATCTTACTTTATGAACCAAAAAAACTCAGCAGAATAACCGTTCTGTTAAAACCCAAGATGATGGTTCAATCATTGCCTCAATTTGCTGCTTTTCCGCCTCATCTCACTGGGCTACTTGAGCTACTTTCCGCTTTGCAACAGTAAAACCACCGATATAGAATTCTCAAAGCACTAGTCCAGGCAATCCCGAGAAACTCAGCAATGTTCCCTTCTTAGACTTCCTGGATTCAAGAAGTCGAAAGAAAAAAATGCCCCGTCCACCGTTTCTTTTCCCCCATTCCCTCCACAGCCATTCCCCAGCCAAAACTCCGCAGCAAAATACCAACGCTTCGCATTACTTAGGTCACGTCACGACCGTCAAATTGCGCAGAAAGACCAATTTTGTGGCACAATCATTTCGAGCTCACCACGCGCTCTTTTTCTTTGGCTCTCAGCAACATTTCACTACGAATAGCTTCTTCCTCCTGTTTTCGTTGTTCTTCTTCCCGTAAACGCTTTAGCTCAGCCTGCCGAAATTCTCGATCTCGCTTGAACGCTTCAACCTAAATTAACATAAGCTTGCAAGTTTCAACGTGCGGAATGCGACGAAAAATTGTCCACAACGGAACAGATAAAGGAACAGTAGGAGAGACAGTGAATCAACCTTATCCTTAATGAGCTTTGTGATCATACGAGTATCTTCTTCCGGGATATGCTGCTGCTCAATCATTTGCTGCACCACCTCTTCCGCCTTATCAGTTTCGATATCAAAAGCAAACTGTAGGCCTTCATTTTCTTTAAAACGATACTGCTTTCGCTTCTTCTCGTCAAAGACTCTCAGCTGCATTTGTATCTAAACAGCGAAGTACATATCAAACAATGGCGTGAGTCACTGTGCATCATAGTCGACCGCACCGTTTAACAACTTCAACCGACAGCTGATTGCACAAAGGTCTGGTATTCGTAGAACTATAAATCAGAGTTAAAATGTTAACGAAAAGCCTGAAATGTACAATGCTGAAACAATAATTCATGGCTGTTAGAAATTTGAAGCAATCTGCAGGCTAAAAAAACCAGATGCCCTCAAGAAAGACTGGCCCTCCTTAGCCGGAATTGCTTAATAAATCAGACGGCTAGTGGGAATGCATAAACAAGCGGTACGTACCCGGCCAGCAGCAACAGTTTTGCTGCATGCCATGTTTGCATGTAAAATAAATGGCC